CAATATCTCCATGTGCATAAATAAGATGAAAGTGGCGTTCGGAAATGAAAAGGACACGGAACTTGGATCACTGGGCAGACTCGCTCCGCCTGGAAGTGAGCAGCCCGTCTCTCCCACGCGGATTTCTGACGTCCGGCCCCCAATCTTCCTCCTGAAGTGACATCTTTTTAGAGGTTAAACACAAGAGGGGAGTTTAGGGGCGCAGGTGAACTGACAAATAACGAAACCCAGAGAAAGGATGCTAAGAGAGGGAAGGGAACATACGCTAAATCAGCCAACTCGGTCCCCTTCCATGTGGGATCAAAGAGGTGACGCGGTGATTTCAGTTGGGCCTAGAGCTTCTCCCGAGGGCTCTTTCATGGAATTGAGAACACAGCTCTCTACTTCCAGGTTCCTTTGATTTCCTAGACCAAACCGGCAGGCCCCAAACCACCTTGTAAACAGGACACCTGCCCTGAAATGCAAATAGCAACTGGTCCCTGGTCTCTCCCGGGCCAAAGCCCTCGACTCGGAGACACAAAGGTGGAAGACGAAGGGAGAAAGCCGCACAGCCCAGCTGAGTGCGGCTTCTGCCAGGAGGAAGGCGGTTCCAGAGAGCTCCGATCGGTCCTGGTGGGAAATTATTTTCCCTGCAGTCAATCGAAAAAGCTTCTAAGTGAAAAGGGGGATGAGACTCAAGCAGGACCTGCCTTAAGTGATGCAGACCGGCCCCGAAAACACCAGTGCGTGGCCGAGCGTGAGAGGATGCACAGAGAGGTCTGTTTGAGACGGCTTCACCGTGTGCTGGGAATTTCACTCACAAACACATGGGGGAGTTCTGAGGCCCTGAGGCTGCAAAGCCCCCCCGACACATGTATTCCAAGCTGACCAGTTTCCTCTTTCTCTCCTTCACCCATTCGTTCACGCACTCCGGAAACATGCACGTGACTGTTTTAACATCTCTACCTCCGAGCTGTGTCCTGACACCGGAACCAGAGTCCTGCCTGGTGGCTCCAGGCCCCGCGTCCAACTCCACAGGACAACGTACTCTAAGATGCAACACACCAACTCACATGCTGACCGTCCTGCCGACAGCAAACTGCCCCTCCTTAAGGCCCTAACACCTAGTTCATTCTGTTACCACTTCTCCCCTACTCCAGCAGCCCCATTTACAATCAATATTTTAGGTGTGTGCTTAAATGGTATCAATAGCAATTAGAGGGGGATTCTGATTCCACCCCAGAGGTAGTTAATTGTTACAGCATCGATCTTCTCTACCTGCTCCTTTCTCCAAATTAAACCTCCATTACAGAGGGGGATGAAGGGCATCCTCTCCCCTCCTGAGACAATAAATTTCATATCGAAGGCACTGGAAAAAAAATAGCAGTTGTTGCAGAATCCATCCAAAAAGATTTTTTTTTCTTCCTGGGAGTAATTAAAAGATGCTTTTCTTGACTAATGATTCCCCGGTTTAGGAATGGGAAGTCAATACTGCTTTGCCGCCGTCAGCTTCGATTGATCTCAAAGCTGTTCAAGTTTGAACGGCAGTTCTCAGGGCAGCTGAGAATCGCTGGAACCAATTACGTGCCGTCCAAAGCTGCCCTAATCAGGGGCGAAGGCCTAGCACGCAGTAAGGCAGACGGCTGGTCAGAGGAGCCCGTCTGGGTGACACCAATGCGAGATGGCTTCAGTTGTTTCTTTGGAGAAGGGTCTGTCGTGTTCTACTTCTCCATGGTCCTGAGTCTGTGTGTGTGTGTGTGTGTGTGTGTGTGTGTGTGTGTGTGTGTGTGTGTGTGTGTGTGTGTGTGTGTGTGTGTCTGAGTCTGTGTGTGAGTCTGTGTGTGTGTCTGAGTCTGTGTCTCTGTGTGTGTGTGTGTGTCTGTGTGTGTGTCTGTGTGTGTGTGTATGTGTGTGTGTGTGTCTGAGTCTGTGTGTGTGTGTATGTGTGTGTGTCTGAGTCTGTGTGTGTCTGTGTCTGTGTGTGAGTGTGTGTGTGTCTGAGTCTGTGTGTGAGTGTGTGTCTGTGTGTGAGTGTGTGTGTGTCTGAGTCTGTGTGTGTGTGTGTGTGTGTGCGCGCGTGCACTGGGGGAGGCATGGCACATTTCTAATTATATTCCACTGTCAGAATGAATCTTCTGAACAAGACAGAATGGATGGAGCTTCTCGGGAAAACAGCTGGGCCCTTTTTCAAAGAATCAGACTGGATATATTGCACTTGGCTTTTCCTCAGACAGAGATAAAATTTTATTAAAATATTTCTTTTTAGTATTACCTGAGGGCCACATTAGAGAACTGTCCAGCTTTTTTTGTGCTAGTGATCACAGGTCCTGCAGAGAGAGCGAGGCAGGGTGGGTGGGAGGGCGTGTCTTTCCTTGTCTTGGAGAGGCAGGAACCAGACTAGATATCCATTCTCACACCGCAGACTGAATTCCATGTGGACATTCCAGCCCAAACTTTGGGATTCTGATTCTGTCTGAGGAAACTGCAGGAGGTAGTGAAGGAGCTGGGGATCTGGACTGTTTTACAATTACACTGAGTGGTCTTTGAGTGTATCTGAGGCTTTGCCCACGTTCCACCAGGACCACAGTCTTCCAACTGACCTCCTTGCCTGTCTCCATCCTTTCCTAGGATGCTGCTGGCTGCCTCTAGTGTTCCTGAGAACAGGCGGAACATATACGAACACAGAAAGAGATCCAACAACCCACCCTCTGCCCAACCGCGAGAGTCGCTGTTAAAACACTAGCCCGGCTCACCAGTCCTTTGCTCTATTATGGCCTTCCCTTCCCCACTTCTCACTGTGCTCAAGGGTCCAGCTCCCCATGGGCCCTGAGGCTTCCACGTTCCTGTTTGTGTGTAGGTCCCTCCCATCCTCCAGCACACACACTCCCCACGCCCCTAGGCCTGGAGATCACAGCACAGTTTAAAGTCAGCTCAGATGACATTTCTCCTGGACCTCCTGGAGCAACGCAAATCCCTCCAGTCTGTGAACGCCACCGAGTCCTGGCATCCTCGCCTGGCCCTGAGAACATTCACCAATCACTGCACACTTACGGTCGTCACCTAGCAATCACTTCTTTTCTATGAGGAAGCACTCAATGAATATTTGCTGAATTTAATTAAAAATAAAACTCCCTGGGAGAATTACTAAAGCACAAAGGTATATTCAATTCTCAAACATGTTTATCTTCTTAGAGATGGACAGAACTTAGAAACCCCCAAGTTACCACTGGAAATACGACGTAACCACATCACCTCACTGTAGGGATTTCACAGCAGTGACTCCACTTGTGAGAAAGACAGACTCAAATGTCTCTAAAATGTAAAGATACGATGTGTATAACACTACACAGAAGAGGAAGTTACATACTCAAGAGGTTAATTCAAATGTACAAGTTAGAAGGATAAAATACCCTTACGTACACCATCTTCACTTATGAGGATGAAATTATTATATAATATTTCCCAGTTAAAAAATTAACCTACGTCTTTGTTTGTAATCATTCTAAATGGTTTCTAATTGTGACAGATGGAAAAACAACCAAACTTTTCTAATCCATGTATTAAAAATAGTATAACTGCTCCTTTTACACACAAACAGTAAAATGTATAAAGTTAATTTTTTCCCAACTTATTTTAATGTTTTCTGCATTCACACGTTAAACTCAATCCGATTTCCAATCATTTTTCTTTTTCAGATCTAAATACCCTCCAAGGAAACTATATGTATGAAAAAATAGACATTAAAACACGAATTAGTCTTTTAAGAATGCTCCTAGTGGACAACCCTGCGGATTTCTATATTACTGTTAAATCAAAATTAAAAAACTGGAGAAGTGTCTCATTTCTTCAGTCTGTAAGACAGCTGCCTGCGTGTATGCTACACAGCATAACTTATATATAAAGAGCTCACAGCGCCAACCTGCTCGATTTTAAACAGATGTACTTCGTGCACATTTCTTGCCCACCCCCGTCCCCTCCCCACAGAGCACCTACTAGGAAGGGCAGGGTTAATGACATCAGCTTCATTCTCTCAAGTGAACCGAAGGGGGCACCACAAATTCATTTTTTAGTGTTGATGAAATGAAGCCCACAGGTTTTCCATGTTATTGGCGGTAGAAACCAACTTCTTACCCCTCGCATGTGGCCCGACCACAGATGGACACCTGGGTTTCCTTGTTGTCTGACCACCAGCAAAACAGATCCGTGCTGATGCTGGGAGACCTCTTCTCCCCCCTCACCTCTGCACACACCTGAGAAGTGAAGGCTGAGCCCATCCCGTGCCCCTGCTTCAGACGCTGGGATGCCCCCCAGCTCCCCGAACAGCCGTGGAGACAGGACGGTCCATCCTGCCTCCGTGAAGGAGGCTCTCTCAGAAAACGCGCCATTTTACCACCCTTAGGTACATTAAATATGCATGTGTACTAAGAAATGGCTTATAATTGCTGTCAATGAAAAATGAGAAACGGAATGGACTCAAAATAAATGCGTTTTTTACACTGGGTAACAATTAACATTAATGAGGGGCCACCATTAAGTTATGCCATACTTGGTTGATTAAATGTGTTAGAAACATATTTCAGAAAATAAAATCTATTTGGTTACTATAACCTCACTTAGTGGGGGTCGGGGGGGAGAGGGGAACCAATGGAGTAGATGCTTATCAAAGACATAAGAATAACAAAATTAAAGAATCCAAAATTCATAATTAGTGTTAACAGCCTAGCTTATGCCTATTAGAAGTATATTAATTAAAGTGATATATTCATAAGGTTAGAAGCTTAATACATTTCTAAGAGAGGAAGAGGAATCCCCAAAGTGTAAAAACAAGAGTAAAAAATTAAGGAGTTTGAATTACCCGTGTCTGCGGAAGAGCAATTTTTAATACAGATGTTTCTGTCCGGGGTAATCAGCTTCCCACTGGTTGCTGGGGCAGTTCCAGTGGTGGCTGTCATTAAGGTCATTTCTGGTTGTTGAACTGCCTGCAGAATGCCCCATAACCACATGCCTTCCCACGTCCCTACCTTGTGGAGTCCAGCGAGGGCTTCGTCCGCCCCTGGGTGCTCTCCTCCCAGATGCTGTTGGCCAGCTCATTCCCAATGGACGACATCACCTTGATAAGCTCAATGGGCCAGTCATCAAGGTCCAGAGATCGGACTCGAGAAAGGTGGGTGCCAAGATTCCGGTGGATCCCTGAGCACTCAATGCACATGAGGGCTCCCAAGTTCAAACTGGCCCAGTTGGGATCTGTGGGAAGAGGAAAAGGGCGCCATATGCAATCAGACCGTCATCACTCATCCCAACTGTCCTTAGGTCTCAGGAACAAAACGGCTAATCGGCCTTCCCATGCAACAGTCCCTCCCTAGAATCACATGGCTTGAAAATGCTCCCTGGCCGGTACTTGGAACTGTCTCAGGCATCTCAAAAGATCTGACATGTTGGCGGCAACTTTCAAACAACTGGCTTTAACCAAAGCCTTGGAAACAACGGAAAGCACGGGTTTGGATAGAAAGACGCACTTTTGGATACTTCCGCAGCGGCACTCCCCTTGAGCAGGTGGACACACGTGGAAACGAAATCAGGCGTGACTTGGCGCCTACTGTGGACGGCAGCTGAGAGCGGGAAAGAGAAGGTGTGCTGAGGGACAGCTGGGCCACTCCCAAAGCTACCAGGTCCCACGTGACCACCTCTGCAACCACGGGCACAGCAAAGTTTTTAGTGACATGATGCGCACATTTGCAAATTTCAAAGCTGAAAGAAAGGCACACCACGATGAAGAAGTGTGCTTTTCAGGGATCTTATTTAAGGGCAACCACCAAAGCAACTCCTGTTTCTCCATCCTTCACTGCTGGCAAGATGGCGGACATGGTCCTTTGGTTAGGTTACTACCCAGGATGATCGACCCTGATTCTCGGAATAAACGGTGATGGGCTTTGGGCTGTGACACTGCACCAGGGGCACTGAATGAGTCCAGAGCACAGCACTGGGACCCCTGAGTGGGATCAGTCCCCGTGTGAAACTGGCTGACACAGTCAGAAGACTGTGGATTTGGACCCAGGGCTGGCTTCATGCTAGAATCACCAGCTGATTTGCAAAGACGGGGCTGACCTTGACAGTCAATGGCTTTCACCACCGACAGAAGCAAATAAGGCTTACATCATCCAAGAATAATCAACATTTACCGCAGGTGCACTTGAAGAGCCAACAAAAAACCAGGTAGCTGACATCATATTTATTTGGAATCACTCTGGAAATGGCAAATGACCAGGAGTGGCCTTATGCTCATTCAGCAGAAATCAGCCAGTGATTCACTTAATATCTGATACAAAGGCAGGAAGGTGGTGATAGAGACCATGGTGGGGGGCACACGAGAAGAGGGGTCTGTGACCTCAGAGACCGTCTGGTTGGGAAGAGGAAACAGATGCCCCTAATAATAATAATAATAACACATAAAAAACAAAACACCTTTGCCAATGCGCCATCTCTCATGTCCTTGACCTCAGCCCCTCGACCTTCCCCTTGTCCTCTGAGAAAACACAGCAGGGCAGCCGAAGGCCTGATTTGAATCCTGCTACACAGCTGGCTCTTATGATGACCTGGGGTATATAACCTGACCCTTCAGACTCTTCATGTCACCCTGTAAGTGGGACACACTGTAGCAACAACTATTACAGTCACAAGAATGGAAAGACAGTGCATGGTGGGACTGGGCACAGACCTGACAGATAATGTGTTTAAGGGATGGGAGTTTAAGACCTCTTTTCTCTCCAGATTTGTCACCCTTTGTCCCTGGATTCCTACTCAGGTGGCCTCATTCTAAACAAACTGGCCCCGGAGCCTCCCCCAATCTCCCTCTTCCACCTGCCCTCCCCACCTGGGCACTCGCCCGCCCAACCCGGCTCTCAGAATGTTCTCTCGACCTCCAATTGGCCACACACGGCAAAGCTCAGGAGCCACGGAATCTTCCCGTTAAAACAATCCTGTAGATGATGGTGGAAACCACTGTAGACGTTTCTCCTAATGGAGGTTCCGATATGTCTCCGATTTTGTGCTTTTAAAGATGTTACTTTGAAACTTCCTGATAAAAACACACTTCAAATAACGACTTCTCTCTTCTAACTTCATGTCATGACACATATTGAAAGTAACATTTAAAAATTCAAACAAAAGAAGATGCTTTAAAGTCCCTCAAGAGCTTCCCTGGTGGCGTAATGGTTAAGAATCCGCCTGCCGATGCAGGGGACACAGGTTCCATCCCTGGTCTGGGAAGATCCCACATGCCGCGGAGCAACTAAGCCTCTGAGCCACAACTACTGAGCCTGCGCTCTAGAGCCCAAGAGCCACAACTACTGAAGCCCACGCGCCTAGAGCTCGTGCTCCGCAGCAAGAGAAGCCAACGTAATCAGAAGCCCGCGCACCGCAACGAAGAGTAGCCCCGGCTCGCTGCAACCAGAGAAAGCCCGTGCGCAATGAAGACCCAACACAACCAACAATAAATAAATTAAAAAAAAAACTAAAAAAAAAAAAGAAGTCCCTCAAGATACCTGAAGAGGAGACCCCTTCTTTCACCTGGAGGCCTCAGACATGGCCTTGCCGTCCTGCCCTTACCTGACCTGCCAACCAGTGGTCTCTCCCCTTTTATCTGTGACAATCCTGAGTTCTTCCTGTTAGGTCACACAAATCCTACCTGGCCAGCTTCCTACCTGAGCAGCAGCTGCTCTTTCCCTGAACAAACCAGAGCCATTCAGTTGTGCGTCCTGCTGCTTCCCTGACTCACAATGACCCCCTCCCCACCTGCTCCAGTCCCGCCCATTTCCTGCACAAGGTGTGCTCTGAGTTGCTGTGTGCCCCTAACGGCCTTGCTCCGTGGCCCCGGGCCTCGTGGCCACTGGGTCCAGGCCTCGCCCACTGGGCTTCAGGCTCGGGATGCCAGGGCCACCTTACACCCTTTTATTTTGTTTCAACTGGACTCTAACAACAGCAAAAATACATGATTGGAAAAACTTTACTGAATGGGCCCAGCACTGTGCCAGGGCTGGAAGGTGAAGAATGAGAAGTAAGTCCTTAACTTCAAGGATACGAACTACAAAAGGACTTTCTCAAAGGGAACGTGGCATTATTCCCTGGACAACGGAAAGCATGGAGGAAAACTGGGTTGCTCCAAGGCACAAAGCATAATTATGAAGTCTGTCAGTTCAATCAAATGCTTTTAGTGTGTAGCGAATTCAAGATAAAATAAAAAGAGGCCATTTGATAGCAAGATCTAGAACATATGATTTTGAAACAAAGAAAACAAAGCCCAGAAGTCTCTGGGCAGGATTTAACCAACTGTACTCTATGTTTATGGAAAAAGCAAACAAACGTATGATCGTTGATGAAGCCAAAGGTTGGTTTCTGGATGCGGCACAGAATCCGGGCAGGTGGCCTAATCCCTACAGCATCTGTGGTGTGACTGTGGCTCACGGGAATGCCTGGGGCATAAACAAGACTTGTGATGAACCAGAATGGAAAAGAACACGAAGAAGAATACACACGGGTCCAGCTGAATCACTTTTCTGTACAGCAGAAATTAACACAACATTGTAAATCAACTACACTTTAATAGAATTTAAAAAAATCAAACAAACAAAAAAGAATTACAGTGCCATCAGAGAGGCATTTGTGTGAAGGGCACTGTGTTAAAATATAAGTCCAAACAAAAGTATTTCAGTTCCTTAAAAGCCATTAAATCATGTTATAAACCTTACATGCCAGATGACAGATGTGGGTTTGCTGCAATGCACGCTGCGTCGAACCACCCCATCTCCCTCTGCCGAGGGCCAAGCCCCACCCCGTCCTGGCTCACACTTACTTTGGGTCTCGCAGTCCACGCAGTGGGAGTTCCCTCGGATGTTCCGTATCGACTGCAAGGCCATGGCCTCACTCTGGCTGGTCAGTCGGGACTGGCATACAGGGAGACATACAAACCCAAGATATGAGAACTCCAAGAAAAAGGTATATACCTGCTAATAAAGCCTGGGAAACACCAAACAGATGGCGAGCGAACATAACCCGAGGGCAACGTCAACAAGGGACTCCTCGTTAGACGTCTTTAGGATGGAGCCTAGCGGGTGGAGAACGGACCGGCACTACCTATTAGGATGCGTCAGATGAGAGACTCATGCCCTAAGACACATCTCGTGATTCCTCGTCAGGAGACCACACGTGTGTGTGGCTGGGGGTGTTCATGCCTCAACGTACACTTACTTGTCTTCTCTAAGCAAGTTAGAAAAACACAAAGAGGGGAAAAGAGGAACACAAAAATTATAAACTATCATGGTTAAGTTTTATTAACATTGTGATATCTATTCTTCTGGCCTTTTTTAAAAAAGCACATGTATACAGATAGACGTGCTTTAAAAAAAAAAGCCAGTGTGGGGTACGTTGCTTTGGAATCTGCCTTTTTAGCCTAACGACATAGTGTCACCTCTCAATGGCATCACACAGTCCCTGGCATTATTTCATTTTATTTATTTCTGATGTGATAGATATTCAGAAGTTTTGTTTTTCTATGTGTTTAAATTTGATTTTGGAAGGTAGCTATTACCTATGTTACTGATTTTCAGTCTTTCAGCACCAAGACTCCTTAGGAAAAGGGTCAGAGCAACTCTGGCATCATTTTAAATGGCTGCATAATATTCCACTTATGAAGACTTAGTTACATTGTTTTCCTTGATGGACATTTAGACTGTTTCCAACTTCTGTCTGCTATCAGCAGTGCTGTGAGTAGCTTACTGCTAACTCTTTGCACAAATTCGTGATTATTGACTAAGGATGAATTCTTCAAAACAGGAGGACCAGGTAAAAAGACGTACATGGTTTTAAGGCTTATGACGCATCCATTTAATATAATGGCTAATGCCAAATAAATCCCAGAGGGCACTTAGAATAAGCTTGATTTTCATGTAAAAATTATTCACAAGTGGAACCATCTTATGTCAAATTGTTTGCTGTGAAACAATTGCTTACTGCTTAATCGTAAACTGTAATTTATTAATTGCCACTGTCTGATTAGCATAATGCATCATTGCGGTTTTATTCCCTTTGGTTAGATGCCCAAGTATTCGAAGTGTGTTTAACAATTTCTACTGGTATCTGGAGTGTGTGTGTGCACGTACAGAGATGTGTCTTCTGTCTACCTCTATAATCTCTAGGGCATAAGTACGTATATCTACAATTGCTCCCAATTCTGAATTATCCACGGGCAGCTAGAACACCTTACAGCCCATTCTCAGCGGAGGCTGTATTTTCCCCTGCAGCTGTTCCTTGTGGCTATTATTTCCATGCTGTGCACCGTCACACCTGTTCACCAAGCGCCCAAAGTGCTCAGTGAGCCCTTCTCTCACGGGGAACGCTGGCCCCTGATGGCACACGTCTATCGAGAGAAAAGGGGAAGCCCTGTAAGGCTGGTGCTCGCATCAGGCCGAGGTGACACTGTCTGTTTTCACAGAGAGCGGGGAGGCATCTGGCAAGGGTGTGAAACAGAAAAGGCGCGTGCCGTCCCCCACCCTCCTGAATCCGATGACCCGGCATACATTCAGGGTCTGACTTGAGATACTGTGACTTTATGCAAAATTTGGAGATGCGTTTGTCTGTTCAGCCACACGTGCCCTCCCAACGCCTGTTCTGAAACCGAGTTCCTGAGCTTTGTGGGTGACAGGTGTCCTCAGTCCCCATCGACAGGAGATGCGGAAGCATCCCGAGTTTGCTTCAGAAGCCGCATCTGCAGCCGTGACTCAATAAAGCCAAGGTGCTCAGAAATGAAAGGCCCTGATTCTCCTCACTGTGGGTATAAAACATCTTTAAAAAAGAGAGGCAAATTACATTATAATAATAATGACTGTGGTCTGGTTTACCCTGGTTAAAGAGGGTAATAAAATAAGACACTCCATCTTTTTGAAAGACAGACTCCCTTCTTAATGACAAAGCGGAACATAAATCACTGGCAGAAATGTCTTTAAATGGTTACAAACGAAATTGCAGGTTGGGAGGTAATGTTCTTTCTCCTGGCTTCTGGTTGTTCACAGTTTGAAAACTCAAAATGCTCTCCGAGACTTTAAAGTGTCCCAGAGAAGGGGTTAAAAATATCCAAGCATTAAAATAATGATTTGTGAAGGAATCTCTGACGGGAAAAGGGAAATGAGAAAAATGACCTTTGTATAAGGAGTATCACTGGGCAGTAATTCAGAAAATGCAGGTTAAAGTCTGCTTTTCCTGGCTAAACAAATGCAAAAGAACTGAACTCTAACTGAATAAACCCCATACCAGGCTTTATCAACAGAATTTAGAAAATGGACATTTTCTCTTCCCTAAGCCCTTTGCATATGCTCATATATGTGCATGCGCTTTTCATCGAAGCCTGTACTAAGGGTCAGTTTTCTAACTCGACGTGAATTTGAATTTGAGACATTTATGAGAACGGAACAGTGCCTCCTCTTAAGTCTGCACTTCTTTTCCTGAGGGTATTCAGCCTAAAGCAAAAATCAGTGTGAACAAAGAAGCCACAAGGGTCCAAAAGATTCTATGATCTCCAATAAAAGGTCAATACTTTACATTTGGGATGAGTCGAGAGAGCAAAGATTTAAACTGGGATATTCTGCCATCTGAACGTGGTTAAGCTAGGCTACTAATCTATGATACAGGACACGTATCGACACAATTCTTTTTTATCTTTGCAATTATTTTGCATTCTGCTCAGAAACATTTAAGAGTCTTGCCAATTGCACGTCTCACCCGATGCTCTCCCCTCCCCCCCCCCATTTCCGTTTCAGGATCAGCGCTCTTGATTTTGGTGGTGGGGCCTTGGGGGGGGCGCGGCAGGCTGCTCCGCGTTTTACCTTATTCTTGCTGCTCTCGCACGACTGTAAGCTGGCGAGGATCTGACTCTCGATGGCCTGGACCCACGCGTCTCGCTCCTCGTAGGTGGTGGCTTCAAAGTGCCACGTCTGGCCAGTGAGGGACACAATGATAAACTCAAAGTTTTCTTCTTGTTCTGAAACACAGAGTGGTGGGGATGAAGAGTTTAGCTTTCATGAGATCACGGCCCCTCCGCCAGCCCTCGGTCATGAAAGTGCCTTTGGGTTCAATCGCGCCTGCGTGGGGCCGCGGCACACACAGGACCGGCCGCCCCGCAGCGGAGATCTGAATCTGCAGACCTCCCAACACTCCAGATTTGGTTCCTAAAGCCAGCGTGGCTTAGCTAGGTTTCAATCAATGCTCAGGGGATGAGGAAAAATGAAAATCAGCGTGTGATGTCAGTGTCTCTGTGCTGGGCACAGATGAAGCAACTTAGGGACGTAATATTCTAACTCGTGGCCGGCTGCTGAAATTGACAGGGGGATGAACATCAAGTGAACGCTGCTCATCTCAGGATACAATTTAATTTCTTCATAAGCGCCTGTGCGCCAATCCACAGATACACCCCGGCAAAGAGGGAGGCCTGAGGACGTCTGTCCTTTTAGGGCAGAAGACCAGCTACGGCGGGGAAGGTTTTAGTCTGGAGGAGCGAGTGAAATTCCAGGCGATTTGAAGGGGCCACTGTGTACCAGGAAGGGGGGTCCTTACGTTTAAATCCTGCTCCGCCACTTGGCGTGCTGGAGTCTGGACAAGTTCTCAACCCGTGCTGGGTTCATTTCCTCACCCTTAAAATGGGAGGGGAAAGCTGCCTCCTTTGCTGTGTTTTCCACTGGCTAAATGACGTGCACTAGCTCAGGCCCACGCCCAACACCCTCCGTGAGCGCTGGTGTGCGTCCCCTGTTCTGATCTAACCTCCGGCCTCTGCCACGGAATGAAAGGCAGAGCAGGGGCCACGTGCAGACAGCGTAACCAGCCACAGGTAACCATGAAGGCGTGTGGAGCTGGACTTTCAGGCACCAGCATGTCTCACGTGATCGGTAGTTTCCCATCACTTGTTGCAGAGCCAGCTGCAACACGAGCCCCTGGCGAGCAAGTGTTACTAATAATGTGAATGACCTGCTGCCCACCCAGCTGACCTCTGCGTTCGTCAATTACCTCTGTCACCCACACTCGGCTTGCTCGCATCTGCGCAAACCTCCCCCTTCCACACTCTTGGGTCCTCTAGCCTGTGTCCCCAGCTCTCCTCATGGCCCCTGACCTCTGCAAGGCTCCGTGCTGCCGGGTTGGCCCCGCCCCTTCTCAAGGCCCTGCCTCACTGGGAGACAAGGATGCTCCCTCAGTCTCCGAAGCAACTGCAGTCATCTCCAGACGCCCTCTCCTCCTCCCCTTTCGTCTCAGAAGAGAAGCAGCTCCCACTACTGTGGCTGAGAGCCCCTCCCACCTGACCCCACTGATCTGGGCAGGTGGGGACGGGATGCTTGTGTCTTTGTCGAGCACACCCAGGTCTGGGGAGCTGCTCCAACACCGACTGCCACAGACACAGGGCCATGCCACCTTTTCATGAAATCTTTATGTAGCCTGATAACAACAGTATCGTGTTCTCGGTGACATCAGCATCGCTGCTTTTTTAGAATTCAACCTGCTGGCGGGCTGGGCCTCAATCTGTGGAACCTGTTCTCAACAGCACGTGAAGGAAGGTCAGGGACTCTCCTATCAGCGCGCCCAGCCTCACGGGGGGGTAACGTTTCTCCAACAAGAGGGTCCACGGCCCCCCTCAGCTTCTCAAAGCTCTGTGACTCTCCCTGTAGCTGTTAAAAGCTCCTGGGACAGGGGTGCATCGTGGGGCTGTGGAAAAGCAGGCGTGGAGCGCAGGCCCACCCCGCGAAAGGGGCCAAGCAGGGCGTCACCTGGAGCGGACCCGGGACAGCTCAGGGAAGGGGCTGAACGAGATGGTCTCGGTCCCCGAAGGGGGAGAGGAGAAGGGCACCTGGGATGCAACCGACACACGGAGACAGGAAATCTCTCTTTCAAGGACCAGAGTGGAATAAGGATATTTTCATATAAAAAACTGAAAGAATCAAGAGCCCCTCCCTAGGGGAACTGGTAAAAGACACGCTTCAGAAGATTCTACAAAGGTTCGAACCAGATGGGTTAGGGAGCAAATGGATAAATATGGAAATACACCTAAATAAAAATTATATCAAATACTACTTTTCTTATCACGTCTAATTTGGGGAAGGTGCAAAATACTAGAGAAATGAAAGTGGACATGGGGACCCTGGAGTTAAAATGCCCTAGGACTTTGCATTGTTCCACAGGGGAGTTAAGAACTAACTTTAGACTTTGGTAAACTAGGCACACATGAGAAAATACCAGGGTTAACCTCTATGAGAAAAGAAGTAGAATGTATAACTCCCTGACAAAGAAGAAGGAAAATTTAATTAAAAATATGATTAAAATCTTTTATCAAACTAGGAATAGAAGGGAATCCTCTTTCCGTGGAAGAGTACGTATCCGAACCCACAGAACCGTTATTCTTTTTTTTTTTTTTGCGGTACGAGGGCCTCTCACTGTTGTGGCCTCTCCCGTTGCGGAGCACAGGCTCCGGACGCGCAGGCTCAGCGGCCATGGCTCACGGGCCCAGCCGCTCCGCGGCATGTGGGATCTTCCCGGACCGGGGCATGAACCCGTGTCCCCTGCATCGGCAGGCGGACCCTCAACCACTGCGCCACCAGGGAAGCCCAACCATTATTCTTAAGGATGAAATGTTAGAAGCAATCATTTCACACCAGGTCAAGGGCTCTCAAGGCCAAAATGTTCACGGTACCAGCCCCTGTTCAGCCCTGCTGGCCGGTGCAGTGAAACAAAACAGGGAAGTGACAGATCCGGAGACTGGAAAGATAAAAGACACCAAACTGTCATTCACAGATTACAAGATTGCTTACACAGGAAACCCCAAGGAATATACAAGTGTCAAGAAATAAGAGTAGCAGTTAGTAAATGGGCAAGATTTAAGACCAGTATAATGAAACGTTAATTGCATTTCTGTACATGAGGATCTAACAGAAATCACGTTTAAGATATAGGTTTATAAATTCATTTCTCTCCATCTGTGAGGTAGGGAAAGAGAGATGCAAAGAAATGTGAGTAAGCCAAACAATTCCCTAAAAGTAGCAACACAGAGGATGACGCGGAACCTGCAGTCTCTGGTAACAGGTGGTAAAGAGAAGACTCCACACTGCGTTCGACGTGACGGATTAACCCAAGCTTGGGAGTGGCCAGAGAGGTTTCATGCTTGTCTCTGGAAGACGAAACCCTGGCTGATTCACTAACAATAATGAAACACCAGGAAGGCTCAAAAGATCAAGAAGATGCAGGACATCCCGTGCCCCCAGCCTGGTGGAGAGCAGCTCATGAGCAAAGGTTGGGATTGGAACGGTGAGCCCCGTGAACACAACTGGATGACCCTGGAAAGCACAGCCACGTTTCACATCCTGATTAAGAACCAATGGTGCAAGCGCTCCACACGTGCTTCATCTGAGACAGTTTCCTTTTGGAGGGGGTAGGCCAGTGGGGTGACTGTCAGTCTGGAAAGGCACACAATTATACGAATAATGAAGAGGGGAATCAGAACCTACGGTCCCAATACTTCGGTGACCAAGTCAGCTGCATCAATAAGCGGTGATGGCCGTGACCGTCTGTGTACGAGTTGTCTGCTTCTGAGGGCTTTGAAGCGTGCACATGTACTCAGGTACGTGTCAGGACTTGTGGTCAAGGCTCTTCACGCTGTAGCAGCTCACTATGCAGTGAAACACTGACCAAGCGTTCTTTTGCGAAATATTTATTGTTTTAACCGAAGGGCTTGGCCTAGCCCTGGAGAGGCAGGGGACACTCCTCTCCAGTCTTGTCCACACAGGGTCTGGCAACAGCTCTCAAACAGAAAGGCCTCTGGTGGTGCCTCTGTTCCTGGGCTGGCCTCTCCCAGGTGCGCCACACTGAGGGGCTCCTTGCTGAACTGTGGATGCGAACATCAGGGCTACCTGGAGGACGGGGGCCCAGCTCACCATGGAGAAGGCAGGGAGGAGGGGATGGAACCGCCCCCTAACACCGTTTCAGTACAGAGGCAGCCCCACAGGGGTGCTACTCCAAGCCTTCCTTTGGATTTCAGGCCCCGGTGAAGATGTCTTTATAAGAAGCCGGTTAGCTAGGATTCCCCGTTTCCTGAGTAAGGGATTAAAATCTGGGCATGGAGTTTAGTTGTAATCACTCTATACCACCAGCATCAATGAAATCCAGCTGATGCTTAAGTTTTCGTGTGTTTCCCAGGGTACTGTCTGTACGTGGCTTTTTTTTTTTCTTTTTGAGGGAGGGTAATGTGTTAACACTTACAGATACAGTTAGAGTTTCAGAACGAAATTATACCTGCCTTATGACTTTCCTCTGCCTCCTAAGATCAAAAAAAAAAAAAAAAAAAACCAAGGATTATAGAGAAGTTGCATTTTTAATCATGTTACATATGACTTCCATGAAGGACTACTTGTTTCTTTGTAATGAATCTACTGCCTGGAATAATAAATATAAAAAAGAATAATACCAAGTTCGTGTCAGGAAAAATGCTAAGGCCGTCACAGGCATCGTCTCATTCAGTCTGATTATTTTCCTCTCTCGAGGTGGCCAGCAGTGCTTTGTTTCTCAAAAATAAAACAGTAAAAAAAAAAGTTCTCCTAGGGTGTCCAGCAGGAGATGGATGGGTCTCCCCACTTCCCAGTGACCTTTTCTGTTATTTTCCCTCACTCCTGATGTCAGAAGAGCAAGCTGCCAGGGTCTTTTAAAGGTAATTTCCCCAGAAACCCCTAACCAGCTTGTTGCTAGTGTCATATTTCTTTTTAACTGGTCACGTCTGGAGAATGCTAGGGGACATGATGCCATGGATGTAGCAGTCTAAGCTGGGGACATTCCAGCTTCCATCTTCCTGCGTATCTGGCTCTGTGGCCAGTGATTGGTCTGCACGGGAAGGAAGAACAGTCCCAGCTACACCAGGACAATCAGAGCATGGGAGGCTCTTGGCCACTGATCTGTCCTAGTGGGGGGCACATCACCCAAATGTCCTACTCCAGGTTTTCTTATCTGAGCTGG